ACTAGCAACCTACAGTATAAAAGTGATGCCATTTGCTTGCTGAAAGAGACCTTGTAGCCCTTCCTGCTGGAGATCAGAGATGATCAACCTTTAGTATGGATTACACCTCACTATAAGGGAAACAAAATTAGTCACAACTGGACCAATAAGTAAGATCTTAAAGAACCTATTTAAAATAAATGAAGTTGCCGAGGATTTAATTTTACTTCACTCCACAGTCAACATGCATAAAACAGCATAAATAAATAAGTAAAGTGGCACACTACACTGGGCAAATATGCTGCACAAGACCTGTTGAAAGCGTTCTAAAGCCAAGGTGTGACCTGAGCCAAAACATGATGTTTTCCATGGCCGCGTACGCAGATGAAAGCTGGATGAAGAATCAGGAAGACCAGAGAAGAAAGTATGCTTTTGAATTAAGATGTTAGTAAAGCATATTTAAGGTACAATGGTTGAAAGAAGAACAAGCAAGTCTGTCTTGTAAGCTATACAGCCAGAATACTCCTTACAAGCAAAGATTGTGAAACTTTGTCTCACTAACTTGGGCAATGTACAGAGGAGGGTTCAGGAGAAGGACATCGTGCTTGGTAAAGTAGAGGGCTATCAAAAACTAGCGAGATCCTCAATGAGATGACTGGGCAGTGGGGGCAACAGTCAGCTCCAGTGGATCACTGACTGCGAGGATGGCAACGGATGGAGCAGTGTTCTGTTCCGTGGTACATGGGTCACCGGGAGTCAGAACTGACATGATGACACCTAGCTGGGTTTCAGCGGCTGAATCTTTGAGTATAAGTCAATTGCTTATTCACTGCCCAACCAGGGCCCCTTAATTTTGTTGCTAATAACTCCCAACTAGAACCCATGAGGATGCCCATCTGAGGCCAAATGCATAAAAATGCTGTCATAAATGAGGTGTATAATGGGATCTCAGCTAGCAATGAGAACTACGGACATTCACGAACTTGTGAATGAATCAAAAATCAGTATGCTAAATGAAAGAAGTCATGCACAGAGTAATGTATTCCTTATGACTCCTTTTATATGAAATCTAAGGAAAATGGGTTTGGTCTAGAGTGACAGCAAGCATCAGATAGCAATCTGCCCGTGGTGCAATGGAGGAGGAGTTGAAAATATTTTGAGGTAATAGAAACATGATGGTGGTTATATGGATGTATATATATATATGTGTCCAAACTTATCAAACTATCCATTTAAACTGTGCATATTTTATTATATATGAATCACACTTCAATAAAGTTGAGTTTTTTATTTTATCATATATAAATCCACTCAATAAATTTTGTTTTTTGAATCTTAACTAATCTCAGTGGTAGGTTCGCAGGCTTCTCAGCACCTCAGGGGAATTTGTACTGGAACTGGAAAGGAGCTACTTACTAGCTACACTCAGTACCTTCAAGTGCTCAACTATTTATAAAGCATCTTGTTCTCCAAGGCATTTGTTGTAGCTGAAGTAGTGTTTTGTGCCTCTGGTGACTGGCAGAATGTGGTGTTGGGAAGAATGCATTATTGAGAAGACAAGTTTAAAAGGCCGCTGCCAAGACTAGTGAGCTTTTCCAGCCCTTAGAATCCTTTGGATCTTGGCTGTGGAGAAGAACAACATCAACTATCGGGGATAAAGCAGGGAGCAAATGCTAGGAAAGAAGCATTCCCAGGAGAGCTGCAGACCACCCCAATTCAAGAACCCCATAGACTCCAAGACACAATAAGCGTAGGTGAAAAATCAAGATGGCAACTCGCTTTGGGGGATAGAATAATGAGCCTGCTTTAGGATAATGTCATAGAGCAGTATTTCTAAAAGAGGGGCGTATGTGATGCTTTTAGTGGCTCTGACATTCATTTGAGGGATGAGCAATTCAAATATTCAGTAACATCAAATCACTTAAGGAACATTGATAACCTAGTTCCCTTCGAGGCTGTTTGATTACATATGAACATAATTGCAGTGTGCACTGTGTCTTTCCCATCTCGTGTCTCCTTTCTCATCCACTGCACGGTCACGGCTTCAAGTCTTTTACTGATTTGTATGTTTTCATCTAGTCCAATCCTATTTATAATACTAAATAAAAGATTGATTTGTGGTCATGTTATCAAGTTTCTGTATAAAATAAGTGTTTCTAAGTAAAAAAATGGTAGTCAATTTATTCTAAAGACATGCTAAAATATCATGGGGCTCTATTACTGTAGTGGTACATGAATATCTGGGAATGTATAACAGTACTTTAATTTTGTAATTAAGAGGGAAAAAATGTGTGTGTGTGTGTGTGTGTGTGTGTGTGTGTGTGTGTGTGTGTAGGTGGTTACATACCAAGGAACATTTTTTAAATGTCTAGATTAATAAATAGTTTTAAACATTCACTAACAGAACAATTTTCATGTCACAAAATAGCTTTTAGTTTAGAGTTATATGTCATTTAACATCTTCCAATGTTTAAGATTTCAGATAGCTAATAAATATTTTCAGTAATATGGCAAAGGGGGATAAAAGGCCATAATTTGGGGAGCAAAATAGGAATATAACTCAACAACAGTGAATAATGAAGGGACAAATTCAAATTCCTTTCTCCCTGCTGATGAGAGGCCTTATCTGAGTGTGGGAAGATGATGCCCTAAGTGAGCGTGGGAGAGGGGGTGGGGGGAATCTTTCTTCATGAAAGTTGACAACATATTCTTTTTAGTTTTATTTTTACCTCTCATAGATTGCAATTGAGTATACACTGCAATTCCTATCTTTGAAAGAACCCATGGAATTTTACATTTTACTTTAAACCCATTTACCACTTCAAAAACTACAATTCACATAGAAAGATTTCATGAAAATTGTTACGTTGTTCTCAATGTTTTGACAGTCCTGGGCAGTTGTTAAGGGGGGAAAAAAAGAAGAATCTACCTCAGTTAGGTTTGAGAATTTTACCAGGCAAAACCAAATGAGAAAAGAAGTGTGAAGCACCTTTTCTTATTTAAAGAACCAGAAGAGAGTTTGCATTCCACCATGTTTATAATTCGTTGAGCATAGAATTAAGTGTGAAATTAACAGAGGCAAACGCGTTACCTGTCGGCAGATGCAGGGTTATGTTGTTACAGAAATCCGTGAAGCAGCATTCCGTTCTGGTGACGTTGTTGGAACTGTGGCAGAAGACTTGAGCACTGAGTTCTGGGAGGGACACGCAGGACTTGATCACCTGTTCTTTCCCATCCGTTAACATAACGGAAGCCCAGCAGGCCCCTTCTGTTTGGCAGGTGAAGTTTGAAGAATCACACAAAAGACACACACATGTCAGTCCTAGAAAGTGCAAGCAGAAACCGTTCAGATGCAGGAAGACATTCTGAAATTTGTTTCATAATACAAAATAGAAACAGAAATTCTAGCTCCATGAAAATTAAGCAAGCCCTTAAACGCGCACTTGGTAAGCACACCCCAACACTGTTACTGCTGGCAGTCAGATGTTTCATTAAACAGGCTGCTCCATGATTACTTTCCATTTACTGTCATTTCGGAAAACATTTTCAGTTCCTGCTACATTGTAAAGCATTTGCCTCATCCAGACTCTAACTCCCTCCTGCTTAACCCAGAATCATTTCTTCATCTTAAAGTCAACAGCTCCCAACGACATGCTGGGAGACAGTATCACAACAGCCGAGGGCCGCTGTCCAGCATGCGCACAAAGTATGTCTGTGGTAGCTGTGTAACTGAACAAGTCATGGTTTCGTTCATTTACGCTTTCTCCTTTATTTTTCTTAAACAAATGTGCTAAACACGAAAAATAACGGTGGATATTTTTGGCTCCAGAAACAATCGTGGTGATTCTTCGATACTCTAACCTTGTTGTTTTTCTCATGGCCACTGTAAGGCACTGATAAAGCCATAAAACGTCTCCCTTAAGATGGGAGCCAATTGAACACTGGCCATGAGCTTCAGAGGATTTTCTTTAATGAACACATCCATTGCACAAAGCCAAGCACAACAATAATAGCATTTAACAAATTGACACCAATTAAAAATTAGATTTTGCCAAATTCATCTGTTCATGGAGCTCAAGATTCTTCACTTATTGCCCACAGCCCACAACACAGACACCAGACACTGGATGCATGTGAAATGGAAGGAGTGCAATATTTCTCAGGATATTTT